CGCGGGTATTTGTCGTCGGCGAGTCACGTAGAACAATGACTTGGACATCCAGAATAGCGAGGGTTTTAACGTTTTCGGCTGCCATCTTGCTGTGAGGTGTTAACCAACACCATTATGAGTCCAAAGTTCTGATGTTGAGTTAACGACATTCAATATGCCGCGAGGTGCTGGTCAAACAGCGCTCTAGTGCTAAATAACAATCACATTGACGAAGCTTCATATTTTGAGCTGTGCTGATGCTCAAGAGTGCACTATTCTTGAGGATGAGCACAGCTGGGAAAGCGCTGAGTTGTCCTGGTGTCAGCGGTGGGCTGAATAGCTGGTGGAAGGTGTTGCTGATTTACGGCATCGGGGAACGACGTGGGTAAGTGGAAGTTTTGTGCTTTATGAGCAGATCATCCCATTTAACTCACGATAACCCTGGTCGGCGCGCCTACTTCCTTGGCCGCCGCCTCGTGCTAATCTGACAACATTTCTAGGATGTGGTGCAAACGCGTCATGCCCCTGTACATGCCGCTCAGCGAGGTCATCTAACATCTTGCAATGCTGTCTCTCAGGTGATCCTCGGGAGTAATTGTATCAATAAGAAGACCTTGTCACTCCCGCTGCGCAGAAATACTGCTCGAGAATTTCTTGGAGCATCTTGAGCAGCCTCCTTTTTTGACTTCTCGTTTTGCATGAGGTGGTGCACGGCAGTTTCCATCGGTGGACTTGATCCATATGTTTGGATCTTCGTGAGTGTGACAGGGACTGGAGTGCTGAACAGGAGACTGGTCAGGAGCCTAGCTGCGGAACTCCTGCCGGAATGTCGGTCCGCTGCCACGGGCTGATGACGGGCACGAGCTGCCGTACGGGGCGAACTGAACGGTGTTCACGCGCCGATCGGTGGACGATGGCGCGGACTCGAGACTGGCAGCGCCAAATCAATGTGCCGCATCTCGCATGTAATATAGGCACGGGGGGGAGAGATATGCCCCACTCATGTGTTCTTCTTGCACAGCGTTAAGACCAGAACCTCCAAGAGCTGTTTTCGATGTATCTATTGGCCTGGGGGAGGGGCGTCAAGTTCTCGCAAAAGCAGCCACAGTGAACTGTAACTTTTAAATTACACACTGCGGAAGTCCCAGCACCTGTTCAGCGCGGGAGCCCGACCGACTGCACCGACGAACGAGGGCTTGCGGCGTGGCCACGTCACAGCTGAGTGCAGGCACGTGGTCACGGGGCGATGGGTGCTTCCGATGCTATTCTGAAACGGTTCACCGGAGCGCGGACCCCTCGCTCAGACCGCCCTCCGACATCTCGCCATGTCAAAAAACCACCCATCCGACGGACGCGAACGCTGCCGTTCGCAGGGGTATGCGGGTACCCAGCGGGACGACAGAGGAATAAGATAAGGGACACGTGATACGCCTGTGGTTTCAGATGTCTGCATAGACACTTACAAAGTTCGCGCTTCAGCAGTACGCTTCGTCAATTTTGTTCGACAGATACCCGCGAAAAATATCTAACGTATCGAATTTTTCAGTCAAAACAGTTGCACACACAATAACCAGTCCACGGCAGCTGACGAGCACGCTAACCCAGCATGATCCCTACGTTCGACCCCGCTAGTCAATGTACCAGCCGTCGGATATACAAACACAATATCATTGTGCTATCAAGCTATGCCAGGTCCAGTCAAGCCTGCCTTCGAGCCTGACCTCAGACCAAACCTACCTGCCCCAAACCTGGCTACGGGTCTAGCTAGGTCCATGTCCTCAATGGGCTTTGTCTTGACCAAACAAGGCGTCTTCCCGCTTTTACACATGTTTGGTGGTGGTTTGCCACCGAAATTTGTTTCCTGTCCGTGTCTCTATACTGCTTGCCCTACGGCTACGGTGAGATGGCCTGTAAACCGTGCCCGACCAGGGCAGGGTAACTTCCCCTTATGGTTTTCCGAACACAGGTCAAAAACAAAGGCTCGCAGCAGCACACAATTTTCAGCACCTCTTCACCTATCAATTTAAGGTCATCTGTGCGAATCTGAAGTTTTGATCAGCCAAGATCAGTAACCTACGTCAGGTCGAAGAGCTCAACCTTTAACAAAATTGACCACACACTACTTTTCGTGGGCCATTCGCCATTGTTCGAACTTGTTATAGTAACATAAAGCAATAGTACCTTCAGGTTGCATCGTTCAAAATTTCAAAGCAGGCTACGTCAGTGACCTGAACACAGGTAAATTTTTGCTATTTTTTGTAAATCATTCAAATTTGTACGTACCTTTGTGTAGTTTTGTTTGTATAACAGGAAGAGTACTAACTCGCATGTACAGCCATCAGATAACCACAGAGAACGTGACCTTGGCCGAGGTCATGACCTATGTCTATGGGTGCCTTTTGAAACACACGATGAGCTAAAAATAGGCGGCTTTTATAACGCAATTTTTATGCAGAATTCGAACACCGCACTGAAAACACGTTGTAACTAATGCATAATGAGGTCACCATAGCTCACACGAGGACAATGCAAACTCATATGAGGTTATCCAAGGTCAACAATTTACATTCTCAGGAGAGGAGAGGCTAGATAAACGAGTGCGATTCATGCGACTACCTCACTATCGTGTTTGTGAGACTGATAACGTATAGCTTCTTGTACCAACCTGCCGGTTCCCAGTTTAATACAACTACATTGCCAAGGGTCGAAGGGACTATGCATGATGTAGACCACAGCTATGCGATCTTAAGTACCCATAGATGCACAACAACATTGGTCACGTGGACACGGTAGGCACTTCAAATTTTGCCAATTTGAATGGCTATCAATTTGACCTAAGATGACCTCAGGTGACCTTTAGATCAGCCTAAAATATATTTTTGTGTCTGGCCTACTTTTGTTTCGCAGCTGCACCCAAAAAATATGCTTAGTCGGAAGCACATTGTGAAAAATGCCACTCTTGCAGGCTGCTGGTACTCATTTTGAGCGGTGACCTTCTCTGACCTGGCCCTTGTGGAGGAAACATCAAGGGTCGGAATGGAATCCCCAGTGTTAATGCTTATGTCCGTACCCTCGGTATCCGTTTTGACGTGGTAGCATAATTTTTACCTACATCTATCCGAACGACTGATTTCGACCTCCCGTGATCTCTGGTGACCTCACATATGACCTAAGGTAAAACATTTGGTGTGCGGTCTTCATGATTTCACGACACCTTCACAACAGTATCTTTCTTTCTCATACGGCGTCTGGAAGTGGAGGTCTCCACGGGGGGGAGTCGACTTGCCCCCGGCCGGGCACGGTTGTCTCGAACCCCCGGCCGGGCACGGTTGTCTCGAACCCCCGGCCGGGCACGGTTGTCTCGAACCCTCGGCCGGGCGCAGATTAAAGAATAGTCCGTCTGCCATCATTCTACGAAAATTTATGGAAATAGCGCCGCTCTGAGCACAGCTGGCGTGCGAAAGGGATCAGAATTAGTCCCACCACCTTCAGACCTGCCTTCCTGATATGCCCCCAGCGCGCGCATTAGGACGAAAACGCCACGCTGTGAGCATAGAATAGGCGCGTATCATTGAGGCTTTACGACGCACTCAGCCTGTCGATAAGCGTGTCAAATAGGCGTGTTAATACATTTTCTGATATCAATGGTGATTTCAAAACATCCCCCTCGGCCATCGGCCATGCTCAGTGATGACCGTGACCATCGGTGACCTTCAGGTTCTCCTGCTGGCTTTTAGCGATGGTCCTCGGACCCTCCGGCTATCAGCGTTGCAGCAGCAGTTGCAGCAGACCCTGTGAGTGTAGCTGACATTTTCCTAACCACAATTTCCCTGTATATTTCGCAAGGGGAAATTGTTTTTCTTCACTTCAATGCCTTCTTGTGTGTTTCACGGGACAGGTTCTATTCCTTCAGGTCAAAAAGGTGACCCAACTTCCCTTCCTTCCCAACTGACTGAATGGACTGGGTAAGGACTGGACTTGATGACTGGGCTGGATGAAGACTGGATTGGATGAAGGCTGTACAGTACGAGGTTCCACAGATGACCTAATATCGATGATATTAGCTATGGGTTAGTGTCGCCATACATCGATCTTCATCCACACAAGACACGAGCCGCCCATCTCCGCAAAGCCCGCCAACTTTGCATGGCAAACTCATCGAGACAGTGACAAGCATCTGACAGTCCCAACTGACGGGAGAGCTGAAAGCCGTTCAGAAACCCGGCAAACTCTGCTAAGACGTTGGTATATTTTCACTTTAAAACATCAATGATACAGTAGCGGCCGCCGCATCAGTGATGAGTCACACGGAGCACCTCCGGTCGGGCAGTCGGCCAGCTGCCCGGCCACGGCCAGTGACCGCTGCCGCGCCGGAGGCCCCGATGGGCGGCGGGCGGGACCTGGTCAGCCCGGGGACCGGGTGGGGGGCTGCCGGGGCGTCGGGGAGCGTCGTCCACCGGCCGCCGGCGGCATCGAAGGCCGGACCGAGCGTCGCGCTTCGGACCTCACCGGGTCGACAGCCGTTCGGTCCTGTTTAGCCACCCCGCCCATCGGGCTAACCAAACTACTAAGCTCTAAAAAATCAACCGCCACTCATAAGTAGATCACGCACTGAACCAATGACTTGGGGCGTCGAAATCAGTGTTTGTATGATAGCACAACGTCATCGAGTGGATGTCACATAAACATTCGCCCACAATCTGGTCTCAAACGCACCAACCATCGCAGGGCCGGCTTTGAAGCGTATTTTCGTACACCAGATAAATGGAATGTGAACGTCGAATGCCGGCGGGCCGCAGCTAACACGAAACGCTCTTGCCCGTCCGACACCCTGCACCTGGAAGATGATGGCCGTTACAAAACTAGCATCACCGCCGGTGGTGGCGGCGCTGATGGCCGCGAGTGCGGCGCGGCCCGTCGCGAGCCGGGGGTCGCCGGCGAGGTAGCCACAAGGCGCGCGCGGACCGGCGCGGCGCGGGGGCGGCCGGGGCAGCCGGCGGCAGTGGGCAGCTCGGCTCGGCTGGGCCGGCGCTACACGTCCGAGGAGGAGCGGCGCGACTTGCGCCGCCGCCGCGCCAGCTCCGACAGCGCCACCGGACCCAGGTTGGGCGTGTGCGCGCTCTGGTTGATGGCCCGGTACGTGGCTGTGATGGCCGCCTGCCGGCGGACGTGGGACGGTGACGTCAGATCGGGACGGTGACAGCAGCGCGCACCACACTGGCGACGGTGCCACCGGGGCGCAGCAGCGCCGGCAAAACACAGGGCGGGCACCGCGCGCGACCACGCCCGTAATGCGACTATGCGTTCCCCGAAATACGGCTCAAACCACAGCTGCCTGGAAGACAGCCCAGTCGCTCCGGCCAACCTGTCCGTGAAACACAACACGACGCCGCTGGGGGATCCCTGCAAAAACGCCGGCTGCAGCGAACGGCTCGCCGTCTAATGCAAGCCAAGCATCCCGGCTAGCTTGGAGCCAAGCTGCCGAGTCCTGATGCGCAGAAGGTGCTCAGACTGCGCACGGCGCGACACCTGGCAGCTGAAAATAGGCCGGCCCAGCGCAGCATGATATCGACCGGAGCGGATTGGTGGTCAGCTCCCGTCAACCACCAGCCGGCCCGCCGCTTGCCGCACGTTTGGACACGACGCGTGCAACAGAGCTGCCCTCTCCGCAGTGCACGGCATCGAAGCTGGAGCGTTCTCGCCCCTCGCGGGTCATGCCCCCGCCATGACCACCATGACGTTCCAATGCTGAGAGGCAGTGCAACTGAAGCACGCTCTAGGACCTCCGCACCACGAGCTACGCTCCACACACCGATGCGCCGTCGTATCGCATTTAGAGCTTAACAACTTAAAAAAAACATCGAAATCCCGAGTAGTACATCATCTTCAGTACCCTCATTACACTTAACAATTATTTATAATTAGTGAAGGCTAATACAGTAAGACGAGACCACGGCGGGCAGTTCACTACTGGCTTTTCGGTTCACACAACGAGTGACGACCAGCAGTGTCAATAGCTGACCTTCGTAACACGGGCGACGCAGATCGACGTGCCTCATACAGAAGCAATCTGTTAAAAATTCGACAGCTCAGGTCGGGCTTATAGTTAGGAGCCTGACTGGTCGAACAACTATTATTTTCGACATATGTATGTGATACCGTGATCAGTGCCTCCCAGCACCCTGGACAGACTTGCAGCTTGCTACGTTCGCTGATCCATTCCTATTTGTCATTTATTATCGAGCGACGTTTATGTGACGCTTGCCCCACCAAAAATTTCAGCGTCTTCCGCGCATACAACTAGAACTGATGCATCTCCAAGGAATAATACCTCCTAGCCACAAGTGAGGGAAATGCATATCCACTCGCACCCCTATCTGAACGGCAACCATGCCGGCAAACAAGAAGTGCGGCAAAGCATGCCACTCGGCGAGGAGAGTGGAGAGAGGAGAGGCCTGCCAAGCCTGGACGGCAAGAAGCCTCTGGTGACGCCTCGACTCGTTCGGTCGTCCCTGACTGTCGACATGTGCTGTCGGAGGCGGACACCAGCCGGTTTCGAGGGAGCACCCCAACTTTGGAAAATATTTCAGGAACATGCTCTGGTCAGACCTCAGGAGCTGCCATTAAATATCAATATCCCTAGGAAGCGCAGCGGTTTGTCACCAGCAGGATGGCATGAGCGAATTATCTTTATTTATTTTTGAGTCCCGATGATGCGGCCAACATTTTCAGAACACCACTGGCCTTCTTCCTTCTTTTAGTATCCCGTATGCCATGCCGCGCTATGGACGATACTGGTGCACGCAAGACGGCGTTCAGCCATGATAAGTTACCAGCCATTTTGAGCAATTGTTGAATTTCGTACGGTGCTTTTCGAATTTCGTCGTCGATGCTTTCTTAGGCAACACGACAGTCAAATGAGCAAATTACACTGACCTAAGTCAGATATAAAGGTCACACCAAGGTCAAAACCAACCTGTTTTATTACTCTAGGCTTGCTGTATGGGATAGTTTCTGGTGCTCATTTCGAGTTTATTGATAGCAGGAACCGCATTATCATCTCCCATGGAATTCTTGGAGGTCAAAATAGGTCACTGATCCAAAATTACCTGGGTCAACATTTTGTTTTGGAACATACTGCCTAGCGTTATCTTTGTCCCTTCGTCAACTGCAAAAACTAAGAGCAATCTTGAATGAATTTGGTCACCTCGACCTTCAAAACGTCAAACAAGGTCATCTGACCTTAAATGAGAATGTGACCTTTGCTTAGAAACGGTTATCTACGTTCTGGGGGCACTTTGGGGACCAGATTGTAACTTGACCTTGTCTGACTTTTTTGACCCAAAGGTCATGACCTAGGAACCTGAAACTTTTGACCTAAGTGAGTTCGCGTACAGGTTGACACACCGGTAAATTTGGTTGTCTCTAACTCTGGCAAAGTTCCCGAGATCTCAGGGGGGTCAAACTGACCCCCCCAACCGTAGCGAAGGGTATCTAGCCGGCCACCCGGCCCGCGTGTTAACTACGCGCGAAAAGTACAAAGCATGTGGGCACAGCTCCCTTCAAGCGTCACGTGAGTCGCCCGGAACGGCTGAGATGCTCGCCTCCGGGCATAAGCGTCAGCAGGCCGCCGGCGCCAGCCAGCCAATCTCCGAAGTCGAACCGAGCAGCTAGGCCGGATTCGGCCACACAGACGCTCCAGGCCAGTGGAAATCCAGACAAAGCGAGGCGTGCGAAGGCGCGCCGGCGGGACGCCAACGGCCCGCCGGCCGCACCAGGCGGCGGCCGCCACACAACTTGGCCGCTTCTCTGTCGGCGGTGGGGACGGCGCAGCGCCACCCCAGCCGCGTCCGTCCGTCCGCTCGACATCTCTTCCGGATCACGCCTCGGGCTTCACGTCGTTGGCAGCAGATGAAACCGAAGCCAGCACCATCGCACCACAAAAACACCACCGGAAATGAATGAAGGCGAAGACCGGCAGCTGACTTATCAGGTCTCTTTTTCTCACCATTCACCTGGAGTCGGCAGGTGCAGTCTGACCAGCGCGTCAGCTCGGACGATACGCCCCAGCCAGCGGCGAGTGTGGGCCGGGATCGGCGCGGCCGCGCGCGACGGTCCACGTACCTTGACGGAGCGCAGGTCCGGGGCGGCCAGGCCGAGGCGCACGTCGGGCAGCGCGGCGCGGCCCATCACCCACGGGTGGCGTAGCGCCTCTGACGCCGTCACACGCTGGCCCGGGTCCACGTGCAGCATCTGCCGCACCAGGTCCTGCCGACGGCCGGCCAGTCAGCGGCGGGACGGGACCGGACGGGGCCGGACGGGGCCGGGCCGGGCCGGGCCGGGCCGGGCCGGGCCGGGCCGTGCCGAGCGGGGCGGGGCGGAGAGAGGCGGGGTGGGGCGAGGCCGGACCGGACCGGACTGGACTGGACCGGACCGGACCGGACCGGACCGGACCGGACCGGACCGGACCGGACCGGACCGGCCGGACAGGGCCGGGGCGGGCCGGGGCGGGCCGGGGGGGCCGGGGCGGGGGGCGGGGGGGCGGGCGGCCGGGGGGCCGGGCCGGGCCGGGCCGGGCCGAGCGGGGCAGGGCCGGGCCGGGTCACGCGGCGACCACCCGTCATGCTGATGGCGACTAGCCGCGCCGCCGCCCCCGCCTGCTTCATTAGCCGATTGGTCGGCGGCCGCGCGCTCGGCACCACCGCGTCGGCCGCACTGTCAGACGACATCACCGACGGGACCGACACAGTGTCAGGCGATACCGCCGGACTGAGCTGACACCCTGAGAGCCGATGTAACAGGACCAGGATGACACAATGTCACGACGTATTGCGGAGGCGAATTCCCGGTGCCCGGCGATATCACGTGATTGGAATGACAAAATCAGGCGGCATAATGACAAGGCGGGACGGACAGCATCGCGCGATGCCATGGGACTCGGCTCACACAGTGCGAACCATGTCACTGGACTGAACCGACACGGCACCATGCGACATGACAAGACTGACCGATGTCGGTCGATGTCAAGTGACTGGACAGACACAGTGCAGGCGACATCACGGGACAGCGTCAAGACACTGGACCAACACGGTGTCATGCGACATGACTGGACACTGTCGGGCAATGCTCCGGGCCTGGAAGAACACACTGACAGGCAACATCGCGAGACCGAACCAAAACATTATCAGCGCATGTTACGGGCCACCCCATTAAACTGCTCACTGGGCTGACCTGTTGGACGACCGCGGCTCTGTTTGTCCATCTCATATGGCTTAGCTACCCTGCAGTCCAGATCGGCAGAAACCATCGCCGTTCAATCGCGCCTCACTTCTATTAGGTGTGTCCAGCCGAGTGGATCCGCCTACCCATCGGCACAGCTCAGAACCATCGCATTATCTTATTTTCATCTTTTTCTGTTCGGGAAGGGGTCCAGATCTCCCAATCCTGACATTTTTCAGTTGCAGTTTCTCAACGGCGTGAGCTGGCACCTTGAACGTAGCTGAGCTCTTAGCCATCGCTTGTATAAACACACTGGACTTTCTAGTCCCGTGCGGTAAATCTCGATACAGATTAACATAAACGGAGACGAGCTACCATCAAAATAACGTTCAGAATATTTCGCATGGGCGACGTTGGTTTGTGGGCAATTGCTAAGCAAATATTGTTGTATGTATACTGAACCCACCAACATAACTATATCACGTTCGACGTTCGACGGAAAACTTTGCATCTACCCTTTGACGGACATACGGAGGAGATATCTGCGTGCCGCACAATGCTGCGGCACGGCCACCACACACCCGGACTGACCCTTGTTGGCCATTTGCCATCCCATATCAGACGGGCTTAACAGCGTCCCGCTATGGGACTCCTACCCAGTGTCGTTGGATTACCAGTCCAACATCTTTCCCAGACCACGACGGGGGCAATTTTACGCTATTTTTCAAAACCGCAGTCAGTGTGAAACGGATCCAGATTTTCACAGACGTGAAAGAGAGCGCCAGCTCCGAGGCCAAATGTCTGACTTGCTGTATGTGCAGCGCCCAGATGACGCATGTGTGACGTCTCTCCCCGCAACGGGACCCGCAGCGCGTATGAAACGGATCCCGGTGCCAAGGGCCGATCCCGGGAACACCACCCGGAGACACTCTCCTAGTTTCACGGCGTGAGATAGGTGCAATTATACACACGTAGCTTGTTTCATTCAAACGCACGCTAACCGGACTCAATGGGTGGTTTTTAGGGGCTTATAGAGAAGAGAGGGAAGTTACCGACGATTGCGGGAGGGGGGGGGGGAGGGAGGTCGCCCATATCGCAACAGATCGCCTCTGGGCTTGAACACCAGTCATTCGCTCTTGAATAACGTAACATGTTTTCACAACTTTTGAAGTTCTTCTTTGAACAACTTTGAACCTCTTCTCTTAAAAAACAATTTTTTCGCGACTGCGTACATCCTGACCCGTTGATTAGATTCCGACACCCGGATGGAGGGGGAAGGAGAGGGCACGACCTCATCCCCACACATCCAGATCTGCGGCACGCGCGCCGCTGCACATCTCCAGATCCGCGGCAGCCATACCGCCGCTACACATCTCCAGAACTGCGGCAGCCGCACCGCTGCATATCTCCAGATCCGCGACAGCCATGCCGCCGCACATCTCCTAGTCCGTGGAGTGGCGCCGCTGCACATCTCCGGATCCGCCGCAGCCACACCCGCCGCACATCTCCTAGTCCGTGGGAGTGCACCGCTGCACGCCTCCAGATCC